AGTCTCCATTGTTGGCAATTCAAAGGATTTCACTCGATCCTTCACATGTACAACTGATCATTATTCGATCATTCACCGTGTACATCAACGCCTCTGTTTATGCTCTTTCCTGTCATTAATTCTGCATTTTGATTAACCATATTACATGAGGTGCCTCTTAGAAGTATGGCTTCCTGATTAACAGGTATAATTTAATGAAGGTACAAGTGAAGTTAACAGCAAACTTATACATGTACTGCTATTCTGACATTTACGAGGAAATATCTTCCTCTGTATTTTAATTATCCATGTTAACTTGGACAAGAATACTGATGGGCGTGTACGCGAAGTTTAACGTACAGGATAAACAGAATTGAGGATGCTTGTAGGTGAGGTGAAATGGTGTTTAACGTCGCGTCTAAGATTATTGCACTTATAAAGCGACGTGCATGCACGTGTATGTGTGTTTGTGAGGCTGCTTGTACCAGTCCGGACTGGTGCCGATTTATAGTGCTAGCTCACTGAGATACCATGCCGCAGTTTAACATGAATACCCCACTCAGGCACAGTATACTGACTCCGAGCCGACCAGTCCTGGTTTTAGCCCCTTAATGCCGAGCGCCAGACAGGGAAACAACAAGTACCATCTTTTAACGTCTTTTGGTATGCCGCGGCCGGGAATCGAACCCCGGACCTTCCTCTCTCCGGGAGGACGCTAGACCACTAGACCACGGAGGCGGTGGGGATGCTTGTAAGCAGCTGTGGTGATGAAGACGACAATCAAGATGCTTATAATGCTGGTGGTTGCAGTGATGATTGATACGCAGTCTAACATACAAGTGCATCATATCGCTGCCACAGTCGCCATGGTGACAAATTAAAATCTTTGAATCTCTGAATCTTCGGGCTCATTTTCAGCACAGGTCAAGACGTCGTTAATAGTGCTGCGAGAACCAAAGACGGTGTATATGTGACATTAGGGTTGTCGATAAAAAACATACAGACAAACATAAATGGATCTTAAATGAATTGAATTCAATTTGACTTCCAAATCACCGAGCCTGGTCACCCTTTAATTGGATGAAAATGCTGAAGTAAAGCACGTTATTGTCACGTGTCTGTACCCAATATCTGAAGTTAGACACGTTATTGTCACGTGTCTTTACCCAATATCTGAAGTAAAGCACGTTATTGTCACGTGTCTGTACCCAATATCTGAAGTAAAGCACGTTATTGTCACGTGTCTTTACCCAATATCCGAAGTAAAGCACGTTATTGTCACGTGTCTGTACCCAATATCTGAAGTAAGGCACGTTATCGTCACGTGTTTGTACCTAATGTCTGAATTGAGGCACGTTCTTGTCACGTGTCTGTACCAAATAACTGAAGTGAGACACGTTATTGTTACGTATCTGTACCCAATATCTGAAGTAAGGCACGTTATTGTCACGTGTCTTTACCCAATATCCGAAGTAAAGCACGTTATTGTCACGTATCTGTACCCAATATCTGAAGTAAGGCACGTTATCGTCACGTGTTTGTACCTAATGTCTGAATTGAGGCACGTTATTGTCACGTGTCTGTACCAAATAAATGAAGTGAGACACGTTATTGTTACGTATCTGTACCCAATATCTGAAGTAAGGCACGTTATTGTCACGTGTCTGTACCCAATATCCGAAGTAAAGCACGTTATTGTCACGTGTCTTTACCCAATATCCGAAGTAAGGCACGTTATTGTCACGTGTCTTTACCCAATATCCGAAGTAAGGCACGTTATTGTCACGTGTCTGTACCCAATATCTGAAGTTAGACACGTTATTGTCACGTGTTTGTACCCAATATCTGAAGTTAGACACGCTATTGTCACGTGTTTGTACCCAATATCCGAAGTAAAGCACGTTATTGTCACGTGTCTGTACCCAATATCTGAAGTTAGACACGTTATTGTCACGTGTCTGTACCCAATATCCGAAGTAAAGCACGTTATTGTCACGTGTCTGGACCCAATATCTGAAGTAAGGCACGTTATCGTCACGTGTTTGTACCTAATGTCTGAATTGAGGCACGTTATTGTCACGTGTTTGTATCCAATACCTGAAGTAAGGCTCGTTATTGTCACGTGATTGTACCCAATATTTGAAGCCAGGTACGTTATGATCACGTGATTGTATTCTTTTTAGTGAAGTCATTTACGAACACTTCGGGGACGTGTCAGATTGATTTAAATCTGAGCCTGAAAGTTTCTTGCAGTGTAATCTATATTTACCTTCGTGTTGCGCAAGTTTGACTTGAAGACAAAACAAAGTAGGTGTAGGCGACATTTCAAAGCCTAGGTGCTCATCTTAGACTAGATCATATGAGGCAGGAGTAAGTTAGAATGCATGACGTGTGAGAATGCATAGCGTTGGGCAGAAAGGCGAAAATACTGATCTAGTTCCAGTCGGGCAATTCATGAATGAGCCCAGAGCACGATTGTAGAAGGGACACTGTCGGGTTGGTGCCCTTACAAAAACAACAAGCAAAAAGTGTCAAAATGAACCAAAGCGCTACAATGCGACAATGCGACAATGCGACAGCGCGTGATTTTGACCATCTGTCGCATTGTTGCGCTTTAAATAATATTTTTCACTTTTTCCTAAATATCCCTTCTAGGGTTCTATAGTTATCCAATAAAACGAGGTCGACCCAGTCGCCTGTAACCCGTAACTTCGTAACCCCCATGTGGGGAATAACGATAATAACGTCATGGACGCAGACATGTTACGTTGTGCTACCTTGTGTTACGTCGTTTTATGTTGTGTTACGGTCCTACGTCGTGATGTCTAGTTTTACGTCGTATTTCGTCTTGTTACCTTGTTGCGTTACGTCGCGTTACGTCATTTTATGTTGAGTTACGTCGATTTCCCATGTAGGGAATAACGTTAATAACGTCATGGACCGCAGACGTCAAAATAAGAGAACGTCACCCCTTCAGGTAGCATGTCTCATCCCTCATGACCCTGGTACCACACGAGAATCAATAGGTGCGCGACGTGTTACTCTAAAACAACGCACAAAATATGACTGTTTGTGTAATTCAACAAATAACGAATACCAAAGGCGCCCACTACTATACCTGAGAATTATGTGTGCTATGTTAGACAAGTACCATTTAACCATCTCCCAATAAATACATCCCATTACATGAACGAACACAGATCTGAAAGGCTTGGGTTGACAAAAAAGACATCAAGGCTACCAATCTTGAGCCGGTAGTATTTTGATGTACGCAAGAGATATGCTCTCCGTTCTGTCTTCTATGCCTCAAGCTCAGTTCAGCCGATCAACTACCATTTTTTACAGTCCTTGATTTTACCCTGCGTTCTGTTCCTCATTGATAAAGCGCATCAACTTCAAGGGATTCAGTGACGGGACTCATTTCCTCTCGCCGGATATTGAATTATTGTGATGCAATTGTGACGTCACAATTGACGTCAGAGACAAAAATCAATGTTTATTTCGATTCTGTCTAAGTTTTCATGATAGAGATATCTCTCGGGAACAGTCGCTCACTCGACTTGTTGATACAAGACATCGGGCGACAGATTCACGATTGGGTTATTGTATTAAGGCGGGTTAATTCAATAGGCAGTGTTTATTGAAATCTTAATGAAAAGGCCAAGTCCGAAAAAGAGAACTATTTCAATAGTTGTCGGATTGGGAACGTGAGTATACATACCATAAAGATATAACGATGTTTTAGTAATTATATAACGGGACTCAAGGAGTTAAAATACATAAAGTTTTACATGACAGTACGTCATATTACGTTGTGTTTCGTCGTGTTACGTCAGTTTATATTGAGTTACGCTGTTACTTTATGTTACTTTTTGTTATGTTGTGTAACGTCGTGTTACGTCGTTTAATGTTGTGTCACATTGTTTTACGTCGTATTATGTTGTGTTACGTCGCATTACGTTGTGTAACGTCGGTTACTTTGTATTATTTCATGTTACATTGTGTTACGTCGTGTTACGTTCTGTTACACTGTGTAATTCGTTTTATCTTGTGTTATGTCGTTTCAATTTGTGTTACGTTGTGTTGCTTTGTGTTACGTCGTTTTATGCTGTTACGTTGTGTCATGTCACTTTACGATGTGCCACGCCTCCTGGATCAGTAGTTCCGTTATATAATGTGTCAGCTTCAGGTAGGATGAAAGTCCAATGTGATGCAGGTCTTAAACGTTTGCGGTCGGGTAGCCTAGTGGTTAAAGCGTTCGCTCGTCACGCCGAAGACCCGGGTTCGATTCCCTACATGGGTATAATGTGTGAAGCCCATTTCTGGTGTCCCCCGCCGTGATATTGCTGGAATATTGCTAAAATCGGCGTAAAAACCATACTCTCTCACTTAAACGTTTGCCACTTTGCTGATACCTTGTGTTACGTCGCTTTATGTTGTGTTACGTTGTGTTAACTAGGTGTATCTTGTGTTACGTTATGTTAAGTTATGTTTCGTTGTCTTACGTTCTCTTACGTCGTTTGACCTCGTGTTACATCGTGTTACCTTGTCTTAGGCCGTATTATGTCGTGCTACGTTTTCTTACGTTGTGTTTCGTCGTTTTATGTTGTGTTACCTTTTGTCACGTTGTGTTACTTTGCCTAACGTCGTGAAAGCCCAAACTGTTGCAGGTCTCAGACGATGGCTGCTTTGGTGAAACCCACGAGGACGGACACGGTGCTGACAAACCTCGAGACATGATCAGGGCGAACCGAAGACATGTTGGTGCTGGTTGGACGTCTTATCTGGTTTTCAATCGAGAAGCAATAACTGTTCTTTTGTTGGAATGTCGGTCTATTAATTTCACATGTTACGTCACATGCTTAGACACAATCAACAGCGTTCATGTCATATAAGCTCTCTGAGAACATCATACGTGTAAGGCCACAATCTAACAATCAATGGCGCAATACTTACTTATCATGCGATCTCGTAATACACGCTGAAAACTGGATGAGATAAACGCGTGACGATTTAAAAAAATGAGGTAGATTAACGCGTGTCGATTTGAAAATATCGCGTGATTCACCTTCAACTACAGTGTCTTGTAACACACACGACGAATGGATGACGTAGAGTGAAATGGACGCAAACTCGGCTTCAAGTTTAATCACGCCCTTCCGACTTCTAGTTTGTCTCCGAGTTTAGATTCAACTACACACAATTGTCGTCTGCTCTGATATAGCAGACGACAAGATGGGGACGCAGCAATCAGATTGTTCGGTTAAGGAGCCATGCTTTAGAATACTAAGTTAACAGCCTTACGCCAATGTCAGAGGAGAGTTAACAGTTATCTTAGTTTATTGATAAAACACACAATCAAGTCAGATAGTGCAATATTTCACAGCAGGCAATCGATTCAATTTTATAAGGTTGTGCCAGAAACTCATTTTAGTTTTCGACTCGCAGTTGACGAAGCAGACAGAACAGGATATACAATATTTATATTTTGAATTCCAAGTGTATGTCTTCATATGGTAAACCACGTACTTAGTGTAAATAAGACGAACGTCGCCAATGAAAGCTAATACAAAGCTAGTCGCCCTCACTGCGGACTCTTGTGTGACAGAATGTAGGTAAATAAAATAACGGGAGGAACTTATTGAGGAAAATTCAAAGAAATGCAACAATGTCGGCCACGTGTATTTCATTGTTTCTACATAATGAGGAAGTATTTGCAAATACATGCTAATGTCCTCTGGACTCCGAGACAACTGTCGTGCAACATATCCTACTTGGCAGTTATGCTGAATATGGAAGTAGAATTTGTAAGATTAAATAGACGTGTATCTGTCATTTCTAGGATAGTGCGGGGTAACTCTGTAAATTGAACCATATCCCCCACAAGACAGACATCGGGACTGAGTATGAGACTGATTTGTGTCGTGGTGTAGGCGAGTTAACTTCATAATATTGTGTTTTTGGAGTATGCTGTGGCATCAAAGACCCGAAACTGTTGCCGCAGTTGACGTCTCTCACCTGTTTTCACTCCCGGTCAGCATACGCCCGTGTAACCTACTGCTGGTAGTATGGCGACTAAATGTGACCAACACTGTCACTACGTCTACCACAGCGACAACTACTACATCTGCTACAGCGACAACTACTACATCTACTAAAGCGACAATTACTACATCGACAACTAATGCATATATCAATACAACTACCACAGCGACAACTACTTCATCTGCTACAGCGACAACTACTACATCTACCACAGCGACAACTACTTCATCTGCTACAGCGACAACTACTACATCGACAACTAAAGTACTTTACCACATCTACCATATCAACAACTACTACATCTACTACAGCAACAACTACTTTATCTGCTACAGCGACAACAACTACATCGACAACTAAAGTACTTTACCACATCTACCATATCAACAACTACTACATCTACTACAGCAACAATTACTACATCCACAACTAATGCATATATGAATACAACTACCACAGCGACAAATACTACATCTGCTACAGCGACAACTACTACATCTACCACAGCGACAACTACTTCATCTGCTACATCATTAACAGCTACTACAACAGCATCTACAACAGTAACAACTACTACATGTACCATATCAACAACTACTACATCTACCACAGCAACAACTCCTACATCTGCTACAGCGACAACTACTACGTCTACAACAGCAACAACTACTACATCTGCTACAGCAACAACTACTATATCTGCTACAGCGATAACCACTACATGTACCACAGCAACGACTACTACATCTGCTACAGTGACAACTACTACATCTACCACAGCAACAACTACAACATCTGTCAATAAAACTACCACATCGTGAACTAATGCATATATGAATACAACTACCACAGCAACAACTACTACATCTACCAAAGGGATCGCTGAATGCACTGCTGAATGAAACTGAACTAGACAGCTCGACAATCAGCAAAATACAGTGGGTGAAAGTCTCCCCTACACTGACGTAGTTGAACGCCTTTGGGTTGTTTTATATATAGAACAGAACCTGAATCTAACCGAGTTTGATATTTACAAAAACAGAAATATATTAATGGCTGGAGGTTTTTTTTGTCTGTTTGTTGTATAACGCCGCACTCAGCAACATTCCAATTACATGACGGCGGTCTGTAAATAATCCAGTGATTGATATCATGAGCATCGATCCACGCAATTGGGATACGATGATATGCATCAACCAAGTCAGCGAGCCTGACCACCCGATCTCGTTAGTCGCCTCTTACGGGGCGGTCGGGTAGCCTAGTGGTTAAAGCGTTCGCTCGTCACGCCGAAGACCCGGGTTCGATTCACGACATCGATTCCATTTCTGGTGTCCCCCGCCGTGATATTGCTGGAATATTGCTACAAGCGGCTTAAAACCATACTCACTCACTCACTAGTTGCCTCTTACGAGAAGCATAGTCGCCTTTTGCGGCAAGCATGGGTTGCTGAAGACCTATTCTACCCCAGATAATGGCTGGAGGTATTCTCTCCGTTCTCTGGTGACAATTACACTGCGCCAGTTCTGTGTTGACTCTAAAGAGTGTCAACCAATCATAATGAACACTGCATAAGGTTTTGTAAGGTGATCAAATGATACCACATGTTCTTGATATTGAACCATGTGCTGTCTAAATGCATCTGTTGGGCTCAGCTGTCTGACACATCCGAACTGTTTGCCAAAGTACAATGTATATAATTGTTTTGCTCTCTGGAATAGACACGCATGGCCTTGGTGAAGTCTGTTATACCAACACAGCGGTTGCAAGAGGCTTGATGTAAGCCATATAGACAATCCTGGTCAAAATAAGTTAAGGAGAACCCGATTATTCGTATATTACTACCATGTAGGGGCGGTCGGGTAGCCTAGTGGTTAAAGCGTTCGCTCGTCACGCCGAAGACCTGGGTTCGATTCCCGACATGGGTACAATGTGTGAAGCCCATTTCTGGTGTCCCCCGCCGTGATATTGCTGGAATATTGCTAAAATCGGCGTAAAACCATACTCACTCACTCACTCACTATTACTACCATGTACCATGTACTGAGAAAGAATCGGGTGGTCCGGAACTACTTTGGAGTCGTATGTGGTACTCTCTCGTAAACCTTTCTCCAACAATTCTATATAGGCGAATAAGGTTCATACCATGACTTTCCCTTTATGGGAAGTATACGTTGTGTTACTTGTGTGACGTTCTCTTACGTCGTTTAACGTTGTCTTAAGTTGTGTTCCGTCGATTTATGTTGTTACGTTTTGTTACGTTGTGCTACGTTGTCTTACGGCGTGTTACGCTGTGTTCCGTCGATTTAGGTTGTTACGTTTTGTTACGTTGTGCTACGTTGTCTTACGGCGTGTTAGGTTGTGTTACGTCGATTTATGTTGTTACCTTTTGTTACGTTGTTTTACGTTGTGCTACGTTGTATTACGTCGCATTACGTTATGTTTCGTCGTTTTATGCTGTTACGATTTGTTATGTTCTCCTACGTCGTGTAACGTAGTGTTATGTCGTTTTTTTTGTGCTGCGTTTTGTTACGTTGCCTTACGCTGTACTATGTTCTTACATTGCATTACGTCGTGTTACGTTGTGTTACGTAGTGTTACGTCGTTTTATATTGTGTTACGCTGTCTTACGGCGTGTTATGTTGTGTTTCGTCGTCTTATGGCGTGTTACGTTGTGTTACGTAGTGTTACGTCGTTTTATGTTGTGTTACGCTGTCTTACGGCGTGTTACGTTGTGTTTCGTCGTCTTATGGTGTGTTACGTTGTGTTACGTTGTGTAACTCGTTTTATCTTGTAGGAATTATACAGCTCAAAAACAGTTAAGCACAACTCTTAATATGTTCCGTCATTTGGACAGTTCTACATGTGACATCCATATCAGCATGACTGATGCCTCTTGGGCAGGTGGAGCAACTCGACCTGTTTCTCCAAGTGGTCACTAAGGTCCTGTCGTATGACACAAAGAAGCAGATGACTATTTCTAGACCTTGGAGCAGATACTACAGCTGTAATTAGATCCTTAAATTCAATAAGGGCGGTGGGGTAGCCTTGTGGTTAAAGCGGTCGCTCGTCACGCCGAAGACCCGGGTTCGATTCCCGACATGGGTACAATGTGTGAAGCCCATTTGTGATATTGCTGGAATATTGCTACAAGCGGCAAAAAACCATACTCACTCACTCACTTAAATTCACTATGATCATGACACTTTTGGACAGTGATACACGTAAGAGAGGATGTTTAAAGATGCCAACTACGTTATAATGAGGCACTCAACGTTTCGGAGTATATGCTTATACCTTCATCCTTTATTCGCCTGTATAAGCATATACTCCGAAACGTTGAGGGCCTCATAATAATAAAGTTCACATCCATAACTATTCTCTCTCTTAAAAATAAACGTGGTTTGTTATAAATTCAGAAAGGGATACGATTTCCAAAAATGACAATTATATTTGGAAATATATAATAAGCGGCGATTAATACGATTCGTGGTGATTATATTAAGCCCTTATTTCCACCCAGTTTGAGCAACAGGGAGAATTGACTTGGACACTGAAATGTTCCATCTGCGCGGAACTCATCAATGTTTATTGCACAGTTTGCACAAATGTGCTGCTGATGATTTCAACTCCTACACTGTACTTGAGGAACAACGTGGGATGCATCTGTCGCCACGCCGTTGTCCCCGCGACATCACAACGACGCCCCACACGTCTCGCACACTGGCAGCTGCACCGTCCTGTCACTGATACTGAACACATCCTTTGTCACCTAGCCAGATGCCTATTTGTAATCACGATATTTGCCTGGCGATTAGGGATGTGCGAGTGGGGGCGCCGTTTGTGCTAACTAAGCATATTGAGACGTCCTTATCATATACTGGAGTGAATCAATACATGCAGCACAGGCTTCACTATGAAAAGACAACGTCGAGCCACAAAATTCAAATGTGGGATGAAAGTGATTCATTTTATAGAGGCTGTACTTGTTAACATCATTTGGTCCATGCCTTTCAAGTGATAGTCTGCATGTTACTGAAAGACATAGAACAATATATTAATTACCGATTCATTTTCCCCCGGTGCTGTGTTCTGTTTAGTATGGTAAGAACTGCTACCGGAATTTCGTTGTTAACACACACAAGTCGCTGTTTACAAGGTTGTGACGAATCAGTGTTGTTGGGGTGGTGGGGGGAAGGCGGCCTGGGTGGGTTGGTGTCATAATCTTCATTTGTTCATACTCGGCTATTCCAGTTGTATCAGATATAATCATTTGACAGTCGGGTCGGGAGGGTGGGCGTAAGGTGGATGGGTGGTGTAAGGTCATCCTCAGCGTGGACTTATGTTGATCCTCTCGGCGACATCCTCGGACGTCATCATCCACATGAGCAACATCTTCATCTCCAGCCGGCCTCAGCGAGGGGGTGCCAGCAGGGGTATCGAGTTTCAGCCTTCCTTTTAATGTTGTAACTGGTGTTTCTATTTCTGTTTTCTAGTTATTACCGTGTTTTTCTCAAGATGCTTACAATGCATATTTTGAAATTTTTAATCAATTGTATCTCTAAATATCTGTCTGTCTGTCTGTCTGTCCCGATACCAGATTGCAGTGGTGAAGTATACGGTGTGTAACCTCACTCACTCACTCACTCGCTCAGTCGCTCACTCGCTCACCGGCTCACTCGCTCACTCGCTCTCTCACTCACTCACTCACTCACTCACTCTCTCACTCACTCTCTGAGACACACAACAACACACACGACGTTCTGTAACACAAACACACGACGTTCTGTAACACAAACACACGACGTTCTGAGGCACACACATGACGTTCTGAGACACACACATGACGTTCTGTGACACATACACGACAATCTGTGACACATGCATGACGTTCTGAGACACACACACGACGTTCTGTGACACATACACGACAATCTGTGACACATGCATGACGTTCTGAGACACACACACGACGTTCTGTGACACACACACGACGTTCTGAGACATACACACGACGTTCTGTGACACACACACGACGTTCTGTGACACACACATGGCGTTCTGAGATACACACACATGACGTTCTGAGACACACACATGACGATCTGAGACACACACATGACGTTATAAGACACACACACATACATACATGACGTTCTGACACACACACATGACGTTCTGGGACACACACATGACGTTCTGAGACACACGCATGGTGTTCTGAGAAACACACACACATATATACATGTCTGTTCTGACAAACGCATGTCGACATACACACATGGCGTTCTGAGAAACACACATGACGTTCTGAGACACACATATGACGTTCTGAGATACACACACACACATGACCCTCTGAGACACACCCATTACGTTCTGAACACACACATGGCGTTCTGAGACACACGCATGACGATCTGAGACACACACATGACGATCTGAGACACATGCATGACGTTCTGAGACACACGCATGACGATCTGAGACACGCACATGACGATCTGAGACACATGCATGACGTTCTGAGACACACACATGACGATCTGAGACACACACATGACGTTCTGAGACACACGCATGACGATCTGAGACACACACATGGCGTTTTGAGACACACACATGACGTTCTGAGACACGCACATGACGATCTGAGACACATGCATGACGTTCTGAGACACACACATGACGATCTGAGACACACACATGACGTTCTGAGACACACGCATGACGTTCTGAGACACACATACATGGCGTTCTGAGACACACACACATTACGAATCTGAGATATACAAACACATGTCGTTC